GACTTTCCGTCGAAGAAGAGACTCTCTCTTCGGTTGGTCAGGAAGCTCTCGAACCATTGGAGAAGCCTTTGGGGCAGCCCCTTTTCCCACAAGGTGTGGAGGAGCCACCTATGGTTAACCCGATCGAATGCCCCCTTGAGATCTAGGAGGAGTAGTGAAGCTACCGCCCCTAGCTCCCACGCTGTATGCACCGTATCCGTCACTACCATGATTGCAAACTCTGTCGATCTCCCTTTCCTTTTCCACATCAGTCCCTCAGGCAAGAGCCCATGCTCCTTCGCCACGAGGGCGACTCGCTCCGCAACAATTGCCTCCAAAACCTTCCCCACGCAACTCAAGAGCGCTATGGGACGCCATGCTCCTGCCATCTTCTGCTGTGCTGCCGTCTTTCCTGGGTTCATCAGAACCACCACTTTCGCATGCCGCCACCGTGGTGGGAACGAGCCGAGGGTAAAGATCCTGGTCGCGATTACAACTAGCGCTTCCACTAGCGCCTCCCGCACGCCTTGAGTAGCTTGTTGGAGAGCCAAAATACATCATGTAGTATCATAATGTCGTTTTAAAACTTTAGAAAGTGTAAAATTAATTTTCTTGATTAAAAGTTAGTATTTAACCGCAACGGAATAAAGTACAAGAAAGGAAATAGGGGATTGAATGATGGTAGTCATAATTTTACCAAAAGCGACTGTTTTGACGACTATATCTTCCCATTTTAAGAATAGTGTAAAAGCCCTTTGATATTTCAATGGAATTTCGTTTTTTAAGTTGATAAAGCCCGTTTCAATACCGGATTAAATTCCAACCTTAAGTACTTGAAGAAGTAAGGATCCACTTTTCGACACAAGAGAAGTATTAAAAATTTAAAAAATAGCTTTCGAATTTAAGAATGATTTTCTTCTACTATCTTAGCGTAATGCATACTTTTATATATACCGGCAAAATACTTTTTCCATATTTTATTATCTTTTTAAAAGCTTTGCCCATTTTAGGAATAATACGCTATATCAGAATCGTTGCAATTGGAAAATCCTACCACATTGTAGTAAATACTATTTTTGAACATACGAATACTTCTATTAATTTTTATCCGTGGAGATGGCTTAACCCCATCGATGCGCACGTCGCAAAATATCGTGAGGGGGGTATAACACCCTTACAAAATGATTGCCGTTATTGGTTTTTATTTTGGAGCCCTCCTCCACCAGAAACCAGTGTTCTTGGTTTTGGCGTCGTTTAAGCTTTTAGTAACGTTGTAATAGGAATTAAAAAAGAAGTATTATGAAGTAAATTTGGAATTGTTTGGAATAAGTGCAAGAAACCTATATTATTTTCAATCGTAGCCGAATTTGTAGTAGTTATAGTATACGTCTGTTCTGAGGAATAATGGGGAGAATTATTGTAGAATTAGACATTTATTACTAACGATGCTCCCCATCAAGTATTGTGGTAATATTATATAATCACATACGATGGT